CAGAGTCTTCTGTAGAGTCTTTAGGGTGCAGGATGGCTAGTGTAGCTCAGTGTATCACTCCCCTTACTTAGAGGTTTCACTGTCAGGCACTCACTGTGAGTGAGTTAGTCTCTGCTCCACAGCCAGCTCCTCAGTCCCTACCCTGTCCTCTGATTCTAGTTCCCCAGGCTCTGGCCTGCTGCAGCTTCAGATTGATTTCAGCCTGTTGCCTTTTCTGTATGGGCCGTTTCAGCAGCCTGGGCTCAGTGGGTTCGATTAAAAACACATTCTGGTGAGCCCTTTGCCTGCCCAGCCCCCAGCAGGGGTTTTCAGTATTTCCTCCAGTTCCCAAACAACAGTCCCTGAGAGTCTTATTCTTGTAAAGTCCTCCTGTGAGCTGCTCTCCCTTCCCCCTCAGGACTGTGCCCTGCGGGGGTGTCTGGGGCTTCAGTGAGCGGGACCCGCCCCTTTCCTGTTGGGGGCGGTGCTCCCGGCTGCAGGAGAGGCCGGCCGGCTCCGCCCCTCCCTGCTCAGCTCTGGTTGGCTGGTCGCACCAGGCCCGCCCCTCAGACCGTCTACTGTGCAGACCCCAATCCCAGCCTCCGCTGGTCCTGTCTCTTATACACATCTAGATGTGTATAAGAGACAGAGTCTCTGCTCCACAGCCAGCTCCTCAGTCCCTACCCTGTCCTCTGATTCTAGTTCCCCATGCACTGGCCTGCTGCAGTTTCAGATTGACTTCAGTCTGTTGCCTTTTCTGTATGGGCCATTTTAGCAGCCTACGATCAGTGGGTTTGATTAAAGAACATTCCAGTGAGCTCTTTGCCTGTACCACCCCCAGCAGGGGTTTTCAGCTTTTCCTCCAGTTCCCAAACAACAGTCCTTGAGAGCTTTATTCTTGTAATGTCCTCCTGTGAGCTGTTCTCCCTTTCCTCTCAGTACTGTGTCCTGTGGGGGGTATCTGGGGCCTCAGTGAGCTGGACAAGCCCCTTTCCTGTTGGGGGTGGTGCTCCCAGTCTGAAGGAGAGGCAGGTAGGCTTCTCTTCTTTCCCTGCTCTGGTTGGCTGGCCTCACCAGGCCCACCCGTCAAAGAGTCTACTCTGAAGACACCAATCCCAGCCTCCCCTGGCCTATCAGCCCAGTGCACTCCGGGAAGGTGGGAGCCAGTTCAGAGATCAAAAACTCAAAAATGAACAAAGCAACACACAGGCAGAGAGTCTGCCCAGCAATGTCCCCCTGCCCGCATGCCAAGGAACCCATCAGGAGGGGACCCAAAGTCAGCTACACGCAGCTCCTCTGCACACTGATCTCAGTAAAGCTGGGGCAGCTCCATGCTCCACCATGGTGCCCCTCAGGGCTGGTCACAAATCCGAGTCTTAGCACCAGGAGCTCGGGGAGGGAGGGCTCTCCCCCTCCCGTCCCCCCTACCACGCATATTCAATGCTTTCTGGGGCTCAACACACTGTCTTACAAGGAGGCAGTGTCCCCGTGTGCTGCTGCTGAGTCCTAACCTCTGGTCCCTTACTACTCGGGTGCCACACACTTTGGGACAGCCTTTCTTATGGTCGGCACCCTGAGCATTAGATGCTGGTCTGGTAGCATCTGCCATTAAAAGCTTTGTTTCCTAGGAAGGAGCTGTCCCTTTCTAGCAGATTCACCGCTCCCCTGGGTCCCTCTGCTTTCAGTGAGGGGCACTCCTTCCCCTCTCCTGTGCTCCAGGTGTGAGATCCCCGCTTTTGGATTCCGGTCCACACTCCTGAGGGGAAGGAGCTTCGCAGCCTCCAAGCATTGGGGTTGGAGCCCAGCACAGGCTTCAGGGGGGACTCCCCCTTTCTACAACCCCCCTGTCTTACCAGACTCTATGATTTTTCTTCAGTTCTCCCTACTTGCACTATCTAAAATTACTTTTAATAAACTTTATTTTGAAATAACTTTAGACTTCAAAGTTACAAAACTAGTATAGTGAGTTTCCATACACCTTTCACTCAGCTTTCCTTAATGTTAACACCTGACATAACCATAGTACAACTATCAAAGCTAAGAAATTAACATCAGAAAAATACTAGTAACCAAATTATCGACTTTATTAGGATTTCACCACTTTTTTCCACTAATATAGCCTTTTTATATTCTAGGATCCAGGACAGAATACCAGGCTACATTTGTCATGCCTCCTTAGTCTCTTCCAATCAGTTACAATTCCTACAGTCTTGTTTTTCATGATCTTGACACTCTTTGAAGATTAGTTGTCAAGTGTTTTATAGATTTCCCTAAATCTGGGTTTGCCTCATATCTTTTCTTACTTAGATTGAGGTTATGCATTTTGAGCAAGAATACTACAGACACTATGCTGTGCCCTTCTCAGTGCATTATATCATGGGGTACATGATGTTGTTATGTCTTATCTCTGGTGATGTTAACTTTCATCACTTGGTTAAGGTGTTGTCTTCAGGGTTATTCCATTCTACTGTTACTGTGTTCCCCCTTGTAATTAATAAATATCTTGAGACACTTGACACCTGCAAATATCCTGTTTCTTCTCCAACACCCATCCACTAATTTAGCATTGTAAACCCTGAGAAAGAAAATATCTACTAAGAAGGGCTCCTGGTGGCTAACTAGGCTCAAATTTAAAAACAAAAATCAAAATCAGAGCCTAGGAGCCATTTTTACACAGGGACCCCTCACTCTATACTTCAGGGAGAAGCCTGCACTGAACTGCCTGCCTGGACTGTTTCTGCCTTCTGAGTCAGCCCTTATAAAGGAATTCCTGGAATCCTATTTTAACCAATAGTACTAAGGCTTTCTCTATCCAATTGGAGCTACACAGCTCCAACCAACCAGAGTGGCTCTATTCTGACCAATCAGGACAGTGCTTTTTGGGCAAATTAAACAGTGAGAATTTTGAGTCCTCATTTGCATGAGGAAAGACCAATCAGAGACTAGAGGTGGGGACTTCTGTCCATATAAGCCAGCTCCCCTCTGGCTCTGGGGTTGCACTTTCCCTTTCCACCAAAGACTGAAGACTGTTTCCCTGGCTGAGCTGGCGCGCCAAAGATGTCTCACAGGAGTTTGCATAGCAGACCAGTGCAGGCTAGGGAAGACTGGCACAGAGCAAAGCAGACTAAAGCACAGCAGAGCAGACCATTGAGGACCACAGCTGTCTAGCTGAGATGACCTGGCCCCACAGTAAGGCCGTGCTATATCACAATTGAGCTGTTTTACACTGAATAAAGTTTACTTCTTCACTGCACCTAAATTGGGGATTCCTGTTGTTAAAATGGTGCCAACAACCATCAGTTGATAGCATCCATTAGTGTGATTCTTGCCTGCAACAATTATTAGTGGTGTTTCAATGGTGATTTTCTGGTTTCTTCATTACCTCTGCAATTCATCATTAAGGAAGACTAACCTTTCTCCTCCATTTATGTATTCAGTTGTTTATTTATATCAGTATGAACTTATGGATATTTAGGTTATTGTCTGGGTTGTAATGAAATGTTATTATTTATTTTGTTACTCAAATTATTCCAACTTTGGTCTTAGGGAGTTCTTCCAGGTTTGACATGCCCCATTCTTTTCTGAACACTTCACTTCTGTCACTGCATGATGCTCCAGTCTCATTTTGTATTTCTCAGACACCAGCCCAGGAATTGACCACTTCTATAAGGATTCCTGGTTTCTTTCATTAGAGAATTATACAATCCAAGACTTGAGCAATGGTGCTCATTGTCACTGTGGTGTCACTGCTTCTAGGGCCTCTCACTGAATAGAACCTGTAAATATCCATTTGTACACATACATGTGCATACAAACACTCATACACACAATACTCACACCTATATTTATTTCTGTATGCACCTTAAATTACTTTTCATGTCAAGTCTCTGAGTTAAAGCTTTAGGAAGGTAAGCCATATTTATCCCATGGCTAGCCTCACCTGCTCCTAAACTCAGCTGTACCCTAGTTTGTGCAGCAAAGATCAGAGTATCAGAAGGAACAAATACCATTAATTCTATTGCTGCAATCCTTAGCTGCAGTGGAGAGGCCAGAGAATCCTGACTTGTACCCTGGACCACAACAGGCCTATGGTATCAGAAGGCAAAGTGATCAGTCAACAAATAATGTCTGATTGCATCAAATATGTCTCTGTTAGACTTATCCTTCTGGCAAATATGGAATGTCAGGTTCCAGATTTACCTTCCCACCTAAAACAGCTGAAAAAAAACAAACTAAACAGTTAAGTTAAAAAACTGGGCTATTTATGACACATCCATTTTCCATACAATGAACAGCATCTAATGAAGAACAGTCATCCATGGGAGAAGAGATGTTAAATATTTTATGATTTAATATAAATTTACCTCATATAGTAGTTATAAAAAACAGTAACTATTTTGTACTGTAAATACTGAATCAATGTCTACAGATAATATTACACATGACTAAATGTTATTTCTAAGTAGCTAACTGACCCAAAATATTCCCTAGCCATCTTGCTTCTGTTTAAGACCATAAGTCATTAAAATTAAATAAGTCTACAATTTAGCCCAGCAGGGTGTGGCTCAGCGGTTGAGCATTGAGCTAGGATCCAGGAGATCGGGGTTTGATTCCTGATTGGGGCACATGCCCGGGTTGCAAGCTGCAGCCAATCAATGACTCTCTCATCATTGATGTTTCTATCTCTCTCTCCCTCTCCTTTCCTCTCTCTGAAATCAATAAAGATATATTAAAATAAAAGACTACAATTTAGCCCCAGATTGCCAAATACATACCATCAGATATTATACAGTTTGAAAGAAATGAAAGCATAGCATCTTGCCTCTCTCGCCTCTGTAATTCCCTTGGGGAGAAGGTAAACAGAAGTTGACAGAGCTTAGCAAAGAAAGAGGCTAAAGGCAATTTCTGCAATAAGCCTTATAGATTACTTCATTATGAGGGACAGTTATAAGAGACAGAATGGGTTGTCTAGAATTTTAAAAACACCATATTTTAAAATGCATTACCGAACGAGTACTTACAGCAGTTTTATATGCAGCTTCAATGTAAAACACAAGGTTCTGTATGAAATTGACTTCATCTAGGCTGTGGATGATATGAAGTCCTGAGGAAAAAGAGAATAAAGATATAGAGCTGGTCAGTGTGATACTGTTATAATTAACCCAGTTATTAATTAACAGGAAAGGAGCAAAGGGAAGGCCGGACAATATAAACTTGCCATTTGTGCTAGTAAGCTACAGCTTAACACTCTCCAGGTCTGTTCCCCACAAATCCTGGGCAAAGAAAGGGGCTGGGCAAAGAAAGAATAGACGCATGCCCAGTAAAGTCAAAATGACATAGAAAGGGTGTTTGCCTGTCAGACATATCTGGGAACAGGGCATTGGCCAGAAGAGGCATATAGGAGTAGTCACTGCAAGCACAGAAAGATTTTACATTTAAGCTCCTAAACAAAGAGGTTCCCTCTTGCTCTCTCTCCCTTGCTGTTCCTTCCTGACTCCTAGCTTGTGGGTCTCTCATGCTCTGCACTCAATGGACCAATGGACTTTAGTCTGATACTACACCAGACTCAACTCCACCAGAGGACGGAAACTCTGGACACTGGCTTTGCTTTTATCTTTGCTGAATCCCCAGCTGCACCTTTTCCAGGACTGGTTTAAGGGAAGTGGTACTTTGGAAACCGAGGGATATAACTGCACGCAAATAAAAATCACTCATTCTCCTCTGCAAGTCTTAGAAAATTCTTTTTCTCAAGATATCATAAGAACCTGACACCCAGCACCCAGTGGAGAAAGGGATCCTCTACTTCCACCAGTGGAGGAAACCCCACTTCCACGGATAACAAATCATCACTATAGGCTTTACAAGCACCCATAATGGTGAAATGGTCCTACCACTCCCAAGTAATTCTACTCTGCTTAGGAATAATGGAAGGTACTTTGATTCTTAAACCATAAAAATAAGATCACAGATCAGTTTTAGGCTAGTCTTCAACTAAGTGAGATACTAACATATTTTAACATGGAATAATTTTAACTGTTATTTATAGGTTTATTTTTTTGTTAATCCTCACTCGAGGATATTTATCCATTGATTTTTAAGAGTGGAAAGGAGGGAGAGAGAAAGAGAGGAGAAGAGAGAAACGTTGTGGGAGAGACACACTGATTGGTTGCCTCCCACAGGCACCCCAACAGGGGTGGCGAATGAACCCACAACACATGTATGTGCCCTTGACAGGGAATCAAACCAGAGACCCTTCAGTCCACAGGCTGACGCTCTAACCACTGAGCAAAACTAGCCAGGGCTGTTATTTGTAGGTTTTAGTAGAAAGTCTCAGACTCCTAATTCTATAGGTAACTGATTTATAATGTGTTTAAATGTACAAACCTAGGCATCTGGAAAAAGACAAATATTTCATAAAAGATTTGGAGAGAGTCTAAATACTGAGCAAGAAGTAGATAAATATTATGATTCTAAGGAGAATTTAAAACCATATTTTTTGGAGTAAAAATGAGAATTGTTCTAAATGTAAGCTACACAAAGATAGTTACAGCTTACAATAGAGAGTTTTATATGAATTTTCCACTTAATTTTTACAACATCCCTAAGAGGCAGGTCCTTCTGAGGCTTAGAGAGGTTATTTACCTAAGGTCATATAACTAATAAATAGGACTCAATTGACTATCAACTTCTGCATCATTTTGGAGACAAAGATCCTCCAAGATGCAATACTGTTTTCCAATATATACAGTACAATCCACTTTTGTGGACCATATGATCCATATCATCAGATTGCAAGCTCCTCCTGATCCATGCCTTTGTCAAAGCAGCAAGCACAGCACAGGGCAGCAGCAGCAGCAAAGGATCTTTCTTATAGCAGTAGTGACTTTAACCTCTTGAATAGATAGAAAAAAAAGAAGAAAAATAGTAATATTGGACATTAGCTTCACAGCTTCATCTTGTCACCCTTGTGTGCCGAAGTGCTTTTACTGAGATTGAGAGAAGGCAAAAGGTGTGATACTGAATTTGTCTATGTCGTAAATTTGTTATCACAGCAAACTAATCACTCAATCATATAAAAGCCACACATGTCTACCCTATGTCCCTTTGCTCATGATATTGTCTAAAAGGTCTTCTCCACATCTTGAAATCCTAACTGTTCTTCCAGCTCAAATTCTATCTCCTCTATGATGCTGTCATTGATTTCTCTCTTCTGTGCTTCATTTAATTTTAATTTCCCTGCTCTTATTAACTTGTTTTTAGTCTGTACTACAGATAAATCTGTATCTCAATTAAAAGAACCATGTCTTATTTATATTTACAGTCCACAAACATATCTCACATAGTCCCTAAAAATATCTCATAGCATTGTGAATGGTTTTAAATAATATAGAACAGTAGACGGTCAATAATTATTTATTGAATGACCTGAAACAACTATGTTAACCACAGGAGAAAAACCTGTCTCTTGAAGAAATACTTGCAGGACATCTGGGTCCTGTCCCTTCTGTGGAGCCAAGGCACTGCTTGCAGAACAGAGGGTGCAGAGGTGAATACACAGAGGTGTAATCATGTAAGGGAGGGCAAAGCCCAGGATGGCAGTTCTACACAAAGCATACTAAAACATTCAGGGCTCCAGATATAAGGCCAACTAAATGGTCTACTCCACTTAGATTGACTTGTGCTCACCTAAAATTAAGTCTCTCCCTCATTTTTAAAAATTACATTATTGTGATATAATTCACATATACAGTTCATCCATTTCAAGTATATAATTTAATCATTTAGGGCATGCAGTATTCTGCAACCATCACCACAATTTTAGAACATTTTCATCTCCCCCAAAAGAAACCCATTAGAAGTCACTCCCCATTTCCCTTCAACAATTGCCTCTGCCAACTAAGCAATCACTGATCTACTTTATGTCTCTATAGATTTGTCATACTGGACATTCATATAAATGCAATCATACAATATGTGGCATTTTATGTCTGGGTTCTTTTACATAGCATGTTTTCAAGATTCATCTATGTTGTAGCATATATAAGTACTTAAATTTTTTATATTGCTAAAAATATTCTGTGTGGATGTATCACATTTATGCAATGATGGACATTCAGTTTGAATTTTTGCTATCATAAATAATGCTAAAATGAGCACTCATATATGTGCACAAGCTCTTCAGTGAATATTTTTTAATTTCTCTTGAGTATATACTTAAGAGAGAAATTGCTAGACCATATCGTAACTCTCTTTAACCTTTTGAAAACTGACAGATTGTTTTCCAAAGTGGCTGCACCATTTATTTTAACATTCCCACCAACGTATAAAGGTTCCAATTTCTCCATATCCTCAGCAACACTTGTTATTTTCCAACTTTCTGATCATAGCCATCCTACTGAGTGTGCCATGGTATCTCATTATGTTGTTGTTTTTTTCTCAATACCTTTATTAAAATTTGGGGGTAACATTGGTTAATAGGACCATATAGGTTTCAAGTGTAAATTTCTATGTTACAAGATCTGTATTTTACATTGGGTACTCACCACCCAAAGGCAAACCACCTTCTCTCATCATATAGGCCCCTTCCACCCTCCACCCTCCACCCCCTTTTCTCTGGCAACCACCACTGTCTATGTCAATGGGTTTCAGTTTTATATCCCACATGAGTAAAATCATATGGTTCTTAGATTTTTCTGAATGACTTATTTCACTTAGCATAATATTTTCAAGGTCTATCCATGTTGTCGCAAATGGCAATATTTCATCTTTTCTTATGGCTGAGTAGTATTTCATTGTGCATGTGCACCACATCTTTTTTATCCAATCCTCTATCAAAGGACACTTTGGTTGTCTCCATGTCTTGACCACCATGAATAATGGTGCGATGAACATAGGGGTGCATATATCTTTGCAAATAAATGTTTTCAAGTTTTTCAGGTAGATACCCAGAAAAGCGATAGCTGGGTCATATGGTGACTCTATTCTTAATTTTTTTGAGGAACCAGCAGACTGTTTTCCATAGTGGCTGTACCAGTCTACATTCACACCAGCAGTGAATGAGGGTTCCCTTTTCTCCACAGCCTCTCCATCACTTGTTATTACTTGATTTATTATAATAGCCATTCTAAAAGGTGTGAGGTGGTATCATTGTAGTTTTGACTTGCATTTCCCAAATTGCTAGTGAGGTTGAGTATCTTGTCATATATCTGTTGGCAGTTTGTATATCTTCTTGGGAGAGGTGTCTGTTCAGGTCCTCTGCCCACTTTTTGATTGGGTTGTTTGTTTGGTGTTGAGTTTTATGAGTTCTTTATATATTTTGGAAATTAAACCTTTGTCAGAGCTACTGTTTGCAAATATTATCTTTGTTTTGTTGTCAGTTTCTTTTGCTGCGCAGAACCTTTTTAGTTTGATATAGTCCCATTCCATTCCTTTTGCCTTTACTTTCCTTGCCTTTGGGGTCAAGTTCATAAAATGTTTTCTATGACCAAGGTCAATAAGTTTGGTACCTATGTTTTTTTCTACGTACTTTATTGTTTCAGATCTTATATTTAGGTCTTCGATCCATTTTGAGTTAATTTTTGTACATGGGGATAAACTGTAATCCAGTTTCATTGTTTTGCATGTGGCTTTCCAGTTTTCCCAGCACCATTTATTGAAAAGATTGTCTTTACTCCATTGTGTCTTTCTGGCTCCTTTGTAGAAAATTATCTGCCCATGTACATGTGGTTTTATCTCTGGGCTCTATATTGTTCCACTGATCTGTGTGCCTGTTTCTGTGCCAATATAATGCTATTTTGAGTATCGTATCTCTGAAGTTTAATTTAAAGTCAGGTAGTGTGATACCTCTGGCTTCATTCTTTTTTCTCAGAATTGCTTTGGCTATTCAGGGTCTTTTGTGGTTCCATACAAATCCGATGCTTTTTTGGTTCTATTTCTTTAAAAAATGACATTGGGATTTTGGTGGGAATTGCATTAAATCAGTATACTTCTTTGGGTAACATGGCAATTTTAACCATGTTGATTCTTCCAATCCATAAACATGGAATATTTTTCCATTTCATTGTGTCATTTTCAATTTCTTTTAATAATGATTTGTACTTTTCA